CCCATAATTCTAATGCTTTCTTTCTAATAAGTATTTCCTAGTTATCCTTTATATAGCTTACTTTGTGTATAGTTGTTTGCATGTTGTCTCCCCCACTAGACTGTAAGCTCTTTGAGGGCAAGGACAGTCTTCTGTCTCTTTTTGTATCCTCATTGCTTAGCACAGTGGGCACACAGTAGGTGCTTAATAAATGTAGATTGATTGACTGAGTAATAAGTCTGGAAAGGTAGGCTAGAGCTAGATTATGAAGGGCTTTGAATTCCAAACAGAAGAGTTTGTACTGATCTTAGAGAAAATAGGAACTGGAACTCCCTTGAAAAGGGTGAATGATATGGTCTGTCTTGTGCTTTAGGAATATCGCTTTTGCAGCTATATGGAGAATGGTTTGGTGATGGTAGAGGCTTGGAGGCAAGGACAATAGTTAGCAAACTATTAGAATAGTCCAGGAGAGAGACGAGAAGGGCATGAATAAGGGGGATGGCCAAGTGACTAGAGACTAAGGAGTGGTTTAGAGAGATGTGGAGGCAGAACTGTTAAGACTTGTCAGTTACTTAAATATGTAAAGTGAATGAGAATGAAGATTTAGATATGATCCCAAACTGGTAGACTTGGGCAATTAGCAGGATGGTGGTACCCTCAATAGAAACAGGAAAATTAGGAAAAGGAATTGGTTTTGAGGAAAAGATAATGCTCTGCTGTGAAATGATCCAACCATTTTGGAGAACAATTTGGAACTATGCCCAAAGGGCTACAAAAATGTGCATACCCTTTGATCCAGCAATAGCAATTCTAGGGCTATATCCCAAAGACATCAAACAAATGGGAAAAGGACCCACATGTACAAAAATATACATAGCAGCTCTTTTTGTGGTGGCAAAGAATTGGAAATTGAGAGGATGCCCATCAATTGGGGAATGGCTGAGCAAGTTGTGGTATATGAATGTAATGGAATACTATTGTGCTATAAGAAATGATGAACAGGCTGACTTCAGAAAAACCTGGAAAGACATATATGGTCTGATGCTGAGTGAAGTGAGCAGAACCAAGAGAATGTTGTACACATTAACAGCCACATTGTGCAATGACTATTATTGTTAAACTGAACCCTTCTCAGCATTACAAGGATCTAAGACATCTCCAGAGGCCTCAGGATGGAAAATGCTGTCCACATCCAAAGAAAGAACTATGGAAGTCGAATCACTATCACTTATTTTTACCTTCTGTTGAGTTTTGTTTCATCTTTCTGATGGTTCCTCCTATTGGTTTTAATTTTTACTTACAACTTCACTGATGTGAAAATATGTTTAATGGGGTATGTAAATGTAAAGCCTATATCAGATTGTGTGCCATCTTGGGAAGGGGGGGGAGGAAAGGGGAGAAAAATTTTCAACTCAAAAGTGTATGGAAGTGATTGTTGATAAAACAAAATAAATTAATAAAATTTTAAAAAAAAGATAATGTTCTGTTTAGACCTGTTGAATTTGAGATAACTATAGAACAATCATTTGGAAATGTCCAAAAGGCAGAGACATATAAATGAGAAGCTACATGTAGTTTTTCAAATTCCAAGATAGTCAACTTTATTTAAAAAAAAAAAACCAAATGAGCATATTTTAGAAAGGAAGACTCTTTGCAAAATTGTGGAACCATTTAGATACAGAGTACATTATTGTGAAACATGCTGTTTTTCTCATGGTTTTCTCTACTTTGGAGGGTATTTGAGTTAAAAAAAAAAAAAGAAATGCCATTTTTTCCTAATGAAAATAACAAAGATGAAGCAAATTCACTTATTGACAAAAATTTTTTCCCAAAATTTGCATATTTGGTATTTTCAGAAAAAAAAACAGTAGACAAATCATTCTGTAGAACTTAAATTCATATTAACTTCCAGAGAAATAAAGTGACTACATTTATTAAAAAGATAGAATAATAAATTTTCCCAATTTACAAAATACTTGCTCTGCAAGTGATATAGTAAAAGTCATGACCTGTTTATTAGTCACTTACTTATCCTATCTGCAGAAACAATTTTTATTTTATTAAAAAAACAGATATTTTCTCAACATGCATGGATAGGGAAATATTTGTCCTGGATATGTGATACATTTGGTCTTACACTATAGTCTGAACAAGAACATTAGACTTACTACATTGAAAAAAATGATTGAACCTGAAAATCTTATTATCTTTGGCTATACATGAATAAGCAGTTTTCTGGTTTATCCAACAAAGCAATACAAATTTTACTACCTTGTAGCACCCTATTTGTGTGAAACAGGTTTTCTGCTACAGCTGTTATAAAGACAAAATATCTTTCTTCATTAGTGGTTGAAAAATAATTATGAGTAACAATAACACCACTGTTCTTGAATTTTTAGAAACCTTGCACCAAAAACTCATCCCACCCATCACAATCATATTACAGTTATTGTTCTATAAGTTATTATGACTATGAAAATTATAAGGGATTTTATCAACACTAATTGAATGTTTGTAATTAAGATTCATGTGGTATAAAATTGTAATAAATTCTTCATTTTATTTGCATAAAATGTTACCTAAGGAAGTTATTTACATGAATTGTTTTATGAAAAGTGGAAGGAGAGGTGACCTTTTTTTGTTAAAAGGGAGGTGTTATTGCTACATGAAGTCTGATAACCACTGACCCCTGAAATCCTTTCCTACTGAAGGAATCAATGTGGAACAAAGCAGGAAGTTCTAGTTTCCACTACAAACCTTTTACTTGATGCATATATATTCTTGGATACTTGATTGGGAATAGAATTTTATAGACTCAACTTTTTCATTGTGATAATTTTACAAATATTTTATTTCCAGTTCTGAATAACCATCAGATAGTATTACCTCCTAGGACTTTAACTTTCTTCTTTTCTTTCACCTCTAACCCGTAAGCAGACACTTAGGTGTGAAACAAATAATAGGGCCTAATTTATCTGTTTTCTAAGTGTTGATTGTTACATAGGTTAAATGTGAAAAAAAAATTCATTAATAAATATCCCCACCATTTTCACTACAAGAAGGCAAAAATGTTATAATTAGCATTCACATCTCTACATCAAATGGATAAACATGTCAGATTCTTGGCAATTTATTGTCTTCCTAAAATTCCAGAATAGACAAAATAATATGAAGGTTCATGGGATTTATAAGACATTATAATATGTAAACTTTTTTTTAAAAAAAAAGTACTGATGCTACCAGCAAGCCTTACAATTCTCCTTGGCCCTGTGCCCTCTAGACTCTCAGTCATTACCACTTGAACTTCCAGTGTACCCTAAAGACACCCTAGCAGTTGTTCAGCTGCATCCTTAGGGTCACTGGGCCTTTCCTTAAACGCCACTACAGTTGAATCCTCCTTTATATATTGTTTCTTCCAATTAGAATATGAACTCCTTGAGAGCACAGACTGTTTTGATTTTCTGTTTATATCCCCAGCAATTAGCATAGTGCTTAGTACAAAGTAAGCACTTAATAAATGTTTTTTCATTCATTCATTCATCTATTCATCCTAGTCATTGTTTTAGTAATTTATCTTATTTTTTTCGTCTGTAGTATTCAATATACCTTTTAAGGAAAAGTACAAATGTTTCCATTTTGGAATAGCATCATTTTCCCTGTATCCTTTATTTTTTTTCCTTTACTTTCTCCACATCCTCATATTTTTTTCTTTCCCTCTCCTCATGTTTCCTTTCTCTTTCATTTTTTTTAATGTTCCTCTTCCTTTCCCCCTTTTCTTTCATTTTTCTTTTATTCTGGTTTACATTTATTTTCCTTAAACATTGTTTTCTTGTATTGGTTTCCATTTTAGAAATAATATAAGGCTCACACTTTTATTCTTTTCTGTTCTACTTTTCCTCCATATACTTTTTTGTGTTCATTCTTTCCTTACTTGGGTTCCCTTTCCATTTCCTTCTTATATAGAAATATACAATTTCTTTAATGTTTTCTTTTTTAATTAACTAGCATTACCTTCTCTTTCTACCTCCTCCTAAAGCCTTCTTCCCTGATTAATCCTCTCCCTCCTTCCTTCTCCCTCAAACTTTATATAGGACTTTTGGTTTGTAACTCTCTAATGCACTTGTGTATTATGTATTATGTGTCTTATTCTTCACCATACTACAAACTATAAGAGTGTAGAATAGTCTTCTCTAAATTTTTTGTCTTTCAGAGCCTAGCATAGTATTTTATACATAGTAGGCTCTTTGTAAATATTGCTTGAATGAATGTGTTACTTCATTGTTTTGTTTAAGATGAATTATCAGATCATAATGCATACTTGTATTATAGTTCTCACTTACATAGCATTGAAGGTATATTTTCTTCAAAGCAACTCCATGAGGTAGGTAGTATAAACATTATTCTCTATTTTTTTACAGGATGGGTAAACTGAAGCTCAGAAGTTAAGTGGATTATCCATAGTCACAACTAGTCCCTAAGTACCCGAGCCAGGAATAAGTATTCAAATATTAGGAAAATTTATTCTAAAAACAAGTGTGAAATGATTTTTTTTACATCATACATTGTTTTGTGCTATACATACCATTTGGGCACACAAACAACAGCTGTCAACATTGCAATACTTTTAAAAAATCAAGCCTTTTGAAAAATACTTGTGATGATGAGTAGGACTTTCCACTGGGGAGAAAAAAAAAGCGGTAATTTTCAGACTTATTACATGCAAATAATCCACTAGAGTTTACAGGTAGAGACTGTCCCTTTAAATGAAGTTAATGCACTTCCTGTCTTTCTTCTTTAGGTCTCTAGGACAGTGTTTCAGTTGTGGTGAAGAAACTAGAACAGAAACAAGAACTCATGGCTCTTTTGCCCTTTCTCATTCAGCTCAGGAAGCACAGACCTCTGTATCAATTGCAGGGAGAGCTAGCACTATCCTGGCCAGGAGAATTCAAGAATTTTTCTCATTCATAATGTATAATTACATTTAAGGAAAAATTAGGCAGTTTTTTTTCTTTTTTATATAGATGGCATAACATTAACACCTGATTGTATTGAAGAAAGCATCCTTACTTGCTACTGGGGTTGTGATGTTCAAGAATTGTATGAAGCACTGCAAAAGCATGTTTATGTCTCCAGAATAAATACTCCACAGGCACTAGAAGATGCTATATATAGCAAATATATCTATCGAGAACAACATTTGTATCCTTTTGATCTTATATATGATCTATGTTGTGAAGATTGGGGACTTTGAAACTTGTAAGATAAGGCTTTGCTATTTAGTTTTTCTTATTTTTAATTTATTACATGGCTTTGTTTACAATGGTGGTAGTTATTTTCCCTTTACATGTACCAAAAAAAAAGTGTTAAAAAAAATAGCAAAGAAGAAAAATACTGTCAATTACCAAGTGATGCTAAAATTGAAGATTTTGGCATTGTGCCTAGATCTCAATATCCACTGGTGGCACTATTAACTTTAGCTGATGAAGATTCCCAAGGACTTTATGATATTGTAAGTAATTTTTAAAATTCCCATAGAATATTAATGTGATAGCAATAGTTCTTAATTTTTATTTTGCCAAGAAAAAAAAGAAACCCTTATTTTCACTCTTAAATTGGGCTAATTTCATTCCCCTTTGGAATTTGAACTCCTTTGAGTTTGGGTTTGTGAAAATCACTTTGATATACTAGAATCTGCTTGTGAAATAATGTTTACAACTGTTCATTCATGATATAGCTTGCCTTTTCTCTTATACTTTCCTTGAAGGTAAAATTTAAATGAAATTTTAGCACTCTTTATTAGTAAAATTTAGGTGGTTAGAACCCCTTATTTATTAGAATACTCTCAGTTTCTACATTCTTCCTTCTGTATCAAGTTATGTCTATACTTCTTATAGCTGCTGCTGTATCTTTAAGATAAGTACAATTTCACTGTTTATTAATATTAATTATTGAAATTAATCATTTTAATCAGTCTTTACATGAAAAATATACTTTACATTATGTATATTATGTGTATACATAAGATATGCCTATGACAGCAACTTCTGGACATCACCCAACAAAAATTTTATAAGTAACAAAAACTATAGAATATGCTTCTTATTAATCTAATCAGCTGTGACCTACTTACAGCCAGTCAGGTGACTTTGGTTTGGAAATATCAGGTTTCCTACTATTAGTCCTTGCTTGGATCAGATATAGGCCTTTGACTAACTTAAACCTACCCATCAGACTGATCCTGTTCCTCTCCTGTAATTACCATTTAAAATCAGAGAGCCCAAGAGATCCTGGTGAATTGTGTAACTAGCAATTCTGGTACATGGGGCAAACACCATAATGTCTAATGAAGAAGGGACCCTTCTCTTTGCCAAGGTCAACTCCTTTGCGTGTGTCCTTTATTGAATCCACTCCCATCTTCTCCAGCACATTGCCCCTACTATTATCTTCTCTCTCTCTCTAATCTTTAATTTCTCTCCATCAACTGGCTGCTTCTGTGCTGCCTATAAACATGCCCATGTCCCTTCATCCTTAAAATACCTTCGCTTGTTCCTATTGTCCCTGCTAGCTGTCATCCTATATCTCTCCTCCCTTTTCTGGCTAAACTTCTTAAGGAAGCAATCTTTCATTATTGTGCCTCCACTTCACCTTTTCTAAGCCTTTGGTTATCTGGCCTTCACTCTTATCATTCAGTGGAAACTTTTCCCTGCAAAGATTTGGCAACTGATTAGATGTATGGGGTCAGGGAGAGTGAGGAGTGGTAGCTCACCCAAGGTTGTAAACCTTGGTGATTGGAAGGATGACTCCTTCACTGACTCTTCAATAACTGGAAGGATTGGGAGAGAGGTGGGTTTGAAGAAAAAGAAAATTTAATGAGATCTTAGATCACTCATCCATGCCTGCTTAGCCTGTGCAACTCTGTTCCACCAAAAAAAAACTAGGAGAGAAGAGCCAGGACTCTTACCGGTTATGCTTTAGGGACTCACCACAGCCACAAGATGATTAAGGAATGGGGGCAGTGGCAATGCTACCATTACATTAATGGGAAGGGAGGAGCCCGATGGCAGCTGCACAGCTGCTGCAGAGGTATTATAACTTCCTTGAGAGCCAAGGCAGGGCTCAGAATGGGGAAGACTGGGAACGAGTAGGGAAAAAATGGAGTGGGAGAGTGTTGTGGAGGATTAAGGTAGATGAAGTTGGTTAGAGACAAGCACTATGATTGGCTGTTGAGTGGAAGGTAGGATATAACCTATCTCCCTGTCATCTGATCACACAGTTCCCAGGCCATGTCCCCTACTTTGTAGACCACTGTTCTAGAACACTGAACTAGTGAAGAGACCTAAGTTTTTAATTCAGACAATATTGGATATCTTTGAGCAATTATGCCTGCCTATGTCTCAAGAGATATTATCAGGATTAATTATACAGTGTTAAGGCATTTTGGGAATTGTTGAGTTGTAAAATATATTAGAAACCAAATTATCCTCCCATAGACTCACAAATTCAGTTAATCAAAATTTAATTTAATCAAAATACCTTCCAATACTACCTCCTTAATGAAGTCTTGATAACCTCTCCATGCCTACCAACCAGGTAAATACTGCATATGACATCTCAATCAATTAACAAGCATTTATTGTTTGCTATATTCCAGGCACTGTGCTAGTCCTAGGATATATAAAGAGAAAAATGAAAGCACTTCTTGCTTTCAAAGAGCTTACATTGTATCAGGAAAAACAACATATGTACATACATCCAAGTAAATACAGGATAATAGGAACACATAGAGGCACTAGCAGATGAAAACCTCATACCATTCTTTGCATTATTCTTATGGAGCATTTTAATGATAGAGATTTGTGTACTTGTCTTAATCTGTCTAAAAGATCATAAGTTCTTTGAGGGCAAATCCTCCCATCCCTCACCCCACCCAGTATTTAACAACATATTGTTTTTTAACATATTCATCAGAGGTACTCAATAAATACATTGCTTTGGAGAGACATATTTCACTAGGCATGTACATTTGAATCATACCTGCTCAGTCTGAATTCCCTGTAGGATTAATATTGGGCATATACAGAAGTTTCTACAATGCATTGTTATCTTCACAGAAGACAATGTCACATCCTCCCCACCTGTCTGAACCCAGTAACTGAATGTTCTTCATGTGACGTAGTTGATTTACCCCAATCAACATTTTCAGTAAATATGGCACATAGTCTTGCACATCAGTTCTGTGTATATTACATGTTGGAAATGTAACCTGATTAGAACTTGCCTTCAAAATATTTTAATAAGATTATTTCCAATTTACCCTGTATATAGCTACTTGTACAAATGTTTAGTTGATGTCTCCCCATTTTCTTTGTATTCCCAATGCTCAGCAAAGTGTATAGCATATAGTAGGTGTTTAATAAATGTTGATTCATTATGGATTTGGCTTTTGTCTCTAATCATAAATTCTGACTTAAATATAGTGACCAATTTGTTAAAATACTGTGATAATTCTGTTGCAGTTCGGAAATAAGGAAGGGAAGTCTTTCATGTTGTTAGGAGTTATTTAAATAATGACATGAAAGAGACTTTTCACTTTTAAAATTATATTGCTAATTACTTCCATTCGTGTAAGATTCAAATGTAATACAAAAAGACTCAAAAAATGTGCTTGACTGCATCTGTTCTGTAGCCTAGGAGAACATGAGTGAAAAGGATATTCTTCCTGGTTATTCTTGCTGCCCTTTTTTTTTTCTCTAAAAGAAGCAATGATATATTCCATTCCTCTTACCTGCTATCCTCATGCAGATCAGTCACAGCATCCAAAAGTCTTCCTGCCATGCAAGCAGAAACACCTGGGGAAGATGACCCCCAATCATTCCTGCTGGCCATAGTTCTATTGGGTGACAAGTAGTTTTGGGGGTTTAGGTTTTTTTGCACAAGCAACTAATTTTTTTCAGTTTTACAAGTAATTCTTAACATATTTCACCTTACATTAATCTCATTGCCACATATTCTATATACATGAGATTAGCCCATATTTGATTGCCTGCTTTCTTTTTCAAATGTCAGAGCATACTAGTTCTGCTTTTTTTTAATCAATCAGATACTTGACAACAACTATTGTTAGTATGTAATCAGTCTGTTCTCTCTCCATTGCTTGGTTATCATATTTTTGAAGTCGAAAATCTGGCAATCGTAGCTAAACAAGGCCCCCGAGCACTCATTTCAATTACGTCTCTGTTAAAAATAACATAAGATGTGCCTCATTGAAAACAGTTATCCATTTCACTTCAAGATAGTAGACTACAATATATATTGAACCAAATGGTGCGAGCAGGCTGTGACATATTGCCAAGGCTGAGCATGCAAAAGAGGTGTAAAAGACATCATCAAAGACATATATTTGACTGAATAAGGAGATGGGCTGGTCACACAGCAAGAGTGAGGAATAACAGTGCCTAAACATTGAATAGATATGCACAAAATACTAAATTAATGCTGAAAGTCCAAGGAAAGCCTCCAGTACATTGTACAGATCTCTTATGAAAAATTTATGGAAGTACACGGACAAGATTCATGTAGAATGAGAGGACATGAAAGATTGTAATATCCACTGCTGGAAAGGAATAGCAATGCCAATGAAATCAGATTCCTTGAAACACTGAAGCATTGAAGTGTATCTTGATATACTTGAACACTATAACAAATTTGACCAAATTAGTGAATTCCTTCAAAAACTGTTATAAAATAGGTATGCAAAATACTGAAGTTTTAACAGTTTATTTTTCAGGGGTGTTACAATCTGTTTTCTTAAAAAACATGAGTCAACTCTATTTAAATATTTTCACATTTCCTTAATTTTTATTGACTGTTCTTCTGAGAACAAAACCCACAAGTTCTTGTAGTGATGTAGAGAAACTTCCATCTTTAGGAGTGATTACAACTTCTTTGTTGTCTATGTGGTTGTGATATTTACTTACCATAAGAAGAATTATATTCTCTGGAGTTTCGTGATTTGGTTCCTTATCTATGAAATCTATTCCCTTTGTTCCTCTAAAAATATTGGTTATAATGATCGTTTAAAATATTAGTTGTGTTCTAACATGACATATTGATAGTTGACACATTTTATATTTAATTTTAAGGGATTTGAGTATTTTAAAATATTTGTAAAATATTAATATTAGCATTTATGATGCTTTAAGGCTTGCAAAGCACTTTACAAATATTATCTCATTTTGTCCTCCAACAACCCTGAGAAGTAGGTACCATTATCCCCATTTTACAGAATAAGGAAATGTAGGCAGAGATTAAGTAACTTGCCCAGGGTCACAGAGCTAGTAAGTTGTCTGAAGCCAGGTTTCAGATTTCCTGATTTCAAGTCCATCATTCTATGTACTGTACCAAAAGCCCTAACATTAACCAGGCCTTTTTAGTTAATTTACAGTAACTTATATTTATCAAAAAGGTTTAAGTACAATTAAAAATAATATAGGCAGAGGTAATTATTTTCCAAAGAAATACTTATTAACCAAGTGACTAACTTGGAGTACTTCTGATTTATCTTCACTTTAATATTTGCCATATTTGTTTCCCCACATATATAGAATAATGCAAATAGAAAGTAAAATACTAACCAATTTCACTTTTAGATTTCAATGGTGACTGTGATTCATATTCCTGATAAGAAATACAAACTTTCCTGCAGAATATTATATCAGTATGTACTATTGGCTCAAGGCCAATTCCATGACCTTAAGGTAAGCTGTATCTTACATATAATCTTTTCTTTTTGTCTTCAAGAGTAGCAGAATAATGATTTAAAGTAGATAATTGGGTCTTACAGTAAGTACACTATTTTAGTGATAGTTTCATGGTGGATTTGATACATGTGCCCAGTGTTAATGTTATTAGCAGTATTATCTGTGTACCTAGGTTAAAATGATAGTAGAAATTTTAGAGGGAAAAGATCCGATGTATATGTAGTCCAATCACCAAAAATATAGGAACTGAACTATAAAGTTTTGAGATCTACTTTGAGGAAGAAATAATTTCCCACATTTCCTTTTCATTTCTTCCTACCTATGAATTCTCCCTTTCCTTGAATTTACTAGGTCATAATTGGTTTTGGCTACCTCTTATAATCTTTGACTATACTGAATTCAATTTATAATCATTTAAATTTATTTATTTGCTCTTCAGCAACTTTTCATGTCTGCAAATAATAATACACCATCCTTGAGTAACTCTTCTCCAGAAGAACAAAGCACTGACAGACATTTGTTGGAAAAAGTTGGACTGGCTGAAAGTGAAGTGGAACAGTATGAAGAAAATAGCAAAGACTGTGTTGTTTGCCAGAATGGGAAGGTGAATTGGGTACTCTTACCGTGTAGACACACATGCTTGTGTGATGGCTGTGTTAAGTATTTTCAGCAGTGCCCTATGTGTAGACAATTTGTTCACGAATATTTTGCACTATGCACTCAAAAAGAACAAGATAAAGAAACACCAAAAAGTGAAGGGACTGTTACTTCTTAAAGATTTTGTCTACTGAAGATGGAGACTTTTTTTTTGCTTTAAATCAGTCAGAATTTAAAATCTGTGCAGTATTGCTGGTAAGTGATAAGAATTACCTTCTAACTTCATATTTGTACAGTATGTTTGCAGTATAAATTAAGTGTTCATTCTGCTCAATATGTCTATCAGAATAGCCATCACCTGCAGTGTTACTTAAAAAAATACAGCTTTTTTGAAAACTATAATATAAATGCGTGATAACTTCATGTAGTGTTAAATCATTCTCTAAAGAGATACATCTATAACTTAGAGGGAAAATAGAGAACATTAAATTTTCCCTCGTTAACACTTTTTTTCCCTCTTTAATGTGCAATTAGGAGAAATTTAGTTATAAAATAATTGTGTACTTTGGTTATATGAATGAAGAATAGAAAGGCTTTCTAAACCTTGCCAAATCCTTTTCCTAAAAGTTGGTTAGCTTTTGATGTATCTGTATGTTTGCACTTGTAATGTAACTGATATTAATACATGTATAATTATACATAGAAATCAGTTTTTGAATGCAGGTTCTACATCAGAAATACAGTATTCTATATTTCAGTATTTTCATTGTATCAGGTATTAATATTCATGAACCAGATATGAAACTTGAGCAATGAAACAATTCCTGTAAGAAAAGATTAGAATGACACATTTTATAAGATGGATAGTGTGATTATTAATGTAAATCTTTTCTTTTTTTCTGTAAGAGTTGAGATGGATTACTTCACTTTTCTTCCTCTATAGTCTGTCTGCAACAGAATAGATTTTGGAGCCACCAAAATGCACCTAAAGAAGAAATAAAAATTAATATTGTGTATTTTTATTCCCTAATAAATCCCAAGCCCTTCCAAAAGATAAGTATCTTGGTTTATTTGTTGACTTTTCTGTTTAAAAGGTAATGAAACCAAGTGGGCTAGTTTCATCATTACTAAAAAGATAAAGATATAGCAGAGCTTCCAGGGTCTTTAATGAAAACTCCCCTGCAGGAAGTTAGAACAGGAAGAAAAATGGACCTTATGAGCAACTTAACTATAGATACCATCCAAGGACACATTTAAGCTTGACCTACATTATGTATACAAAGTCTTGTTTTTAAAAAAAAGCAAATAAATAACAACCCGCAATGAGTTTAGACCATATATCCCTAAAGTCTCTTCCAGTTCTAACTCCTGTCTAAATTTCATAAATGCTAGAGCCTCTCCACTAAAGTCTTAATGGTCTGGTTTATGACCCTACATTGATTCCATGGGCCCATGTATCATGTCCATCTACTCTTCTTACATTCACATGGCCACCACACCAGTTTAGGCCTTTATCACATTTCGTCTGGTCTATTATAATAGCCTCCTAATTGATCTCTCTGCCTTAAGTCTTTAGTCTTTCAATCCATCCTCCACACAACTGCCAAAATCATCTTCCTGAAGCATAAACCTGACCCTATCATTCCCCTATCCAAGACCTTATTGTTTCTGATACATAATATAAGTTCAGCATGGCATTTAAAGCTCTTCACAAATCAGATTTATTGTATATTATTCCCCTTCATATTCCTGGTTTCAGCCAGACCAGCCCATGTGCTTTTCTCTGAACTTGGCATTCCATTTCTTACTTTGCACAGGCTATCCCCATGCTTGGAATGTACTGCCTCTTCACCTCCACCTATTAGAATCCCCATTTTCTTTCAAAACTCAGATCATGTGCCTTCTCCTACTGGAAGTAATTTTTTTTCCATTAGTTGCTAATGCTTTCTCCCTCCTTAGTTAATATGTATGTATGTATGTTCAATAAATTAATAACATTTTATTAAGTATCTACTATGTCCCAGATGCCATATTAGGTGCTAGGGATAAAAAGACAGCAAATGAAACAATCCCTACTCACAAGGACCTTACATTTTAATGGGAAGAACAAGTACAGACTAAATAAAAATAAAACACAAGGTACTTGTAAATGTTTTATCCCCACAGTAAACTCCTCAGGGAAAGCTTGTCTTTGTAGCCCCCTTACTCAGCATAGTGTCTTGTACATAGAAAGCACTTAATAAATGTGTGTTCAGTTGGATTGTAGCTCCCCTCATTACATGGTTGAAGAATAACGTGTCTTAATATGAGTCAAGTAGCAGCAATTGTAAGGGTAGAAACCAAGACAAAACTGACTACTCCACTCTTTCAGTGTATGTCATTTATTAAATGCCTTCTGTGTGCAGAATGCTGGTCCTAGATCTTTGGAGAAATACAAAGTTTAGAGAGGATATTTGCTGCCCTCAGAAAGGATAGTAGGATATATGTTAACAACTATAACAGAATGTACATGATAAATGCATGAGATGCACAAACAAAATGGAGAGGTTTTTCAGTGATGAGTGTGATTCTATGTTGTTAACCTTTTATGTGAAATCTACATATAACAGCATTATGGAAGGAAAAAATGCAGCTCTCGTTGTTCATTTGAGCTGGCGATAGGCTACTTGTCAATTCTCTCTTAAGAGAAACATTCCAAGCACTAGCTAGATTAGTAATATGGTTTCACAGCAGGTAAAAAAAGATTTTTTTAAAGTTATATTTCAAAGGAAACCTAGAGAAGCATTGCATTTTTCCTTCAGTGCTTTTTAGTGCTTTACATTAGGACCTCATTCCATCTGGATGGAGACTTTTAAGTATAGTAGAATACAGGTAATAATGCTGAAAAAGATAAAATACAGATCATACAACTGTAAAAATGAGTATTGTGTTGGTTGGAGAATGCCTCCTAATAGATATGGAAGGTCACATCTGACCAGACTTGTCCTTGTCTGACCAGGCAAGTTGATTGTGCTTCAAATTTGAAATGAAATGAGAAAATTCATAGTCCATCCAACAGTTAACAAAAGGAAGTTTACTTAGCCACAGCAGGGAATAGACATTCAGAGCAGGGAAAAGAGGTTCATCCAGAATATAGCCTTGATTTATCTGAGTGCAGCTCTCCCATACTAGCATTGGTCATTCTACAAGTATGTGGGCTGTTTTCATATTGAGGCCATGAGCCTTAGTCTCCTGAGCCAGTTACATTTTGAGGACAGGTTCAATACTTAAGGAAGGAAAAACTAGCTTAGCCTGTATGGGCAGACCTTAGGAAAAGCAAGTCTAGCCTATATGGCAGAGCCCTAGAAAATATTGTTCCTACCACAAGAGGAATGCAATAATGGTTAGAAAATTAGGCCAGGAATTAGGAAAACCTGAGTCTCAGTCCTAGCTCTGCCATAAATGACTTATATGACCTTTGCAAATTCAGCTAAAATTTTATAAATAAATAAGATGTGTTTAATAAAAATGTTTATTAATCTAGCTTATTTCTTTTACTTTCCTTATCCATAAGATGGGAATGCTAATACCCACCCTGCCAACCTGACAAAATTAGGCGAATTTTTTTTAAAGGTTCCATTTAAATGAATGTTTTTATACACCCAACTGTAGCCTAGAGAAGGAAAGACTCAGGGTACATGAGAGATGTCTTCAAGTATTTAAAAGGCTATTATGGAATAGGGATGAGATTTGTTCTACTTGGCCTCAGAAAACATAACTAGGAATAATGGATAGAAATGAGTCCAGGTTTCTATTTGATGTAAGGGAAAATTTCCTAATAATCACAGCTATCCCAAAATGAAATAGGTTACCTTGGGAAGTAACCTACTCCTCACTAGATGTCTTCAAATAAAGTCTGGATGACCACTTGGCAGCTATATGATAGAAAGGATTCTTGTTCAGATATGAGTTGAACTACATAGCCTCAGAGGTTCCCTTTCAATTTTAAAATCCTATCATTCTCTGATCTGTTAAATTTTACCAATGTACTATCTTTTGTTTCCAAAGGTGATACTACTGATTCATGTGTTGGATAAGAGTCAGATTCCTTTAACAGCATTGTATGCTTTATGTTCTCATCACATCATATTTTATCTTGTATTATAGTTATTTGTGTGCCTGTCTTGTCTCCCCTACTAGATTTTAAGAATCTTAAATATAAGGATCATATATTTATATTTATCTTTATCTCTCTTCTTATGATCTAGTACCCTGCCTTATAGAATTGCAGAATCTCAGAGTTGGAAGGAAATCCAGGGGTCATCTGGTCAAATCTATATGTAAACAAGAATCAGTACTGACAAGTGGTCTTACACTCTTTGCTTAAAGATTTTTAGTTAGGGAGAACCCAGTCTCACAAAATAGCCCCTTCCATCTAGAATCCTCATTGTTAGAAAATTTTTCCTAAAATCTAGTCAAAAGCTGCCCATCTAATAAATGTACTCAGACATAGTTCTGTCCTCTGGAGCCTAGTAGAACAATTCTACACATGATAGCTTTTCAGATACATAAAGACAGCCATCATGTCCATTCTATGCATTCTATTCTGGCTAAATATTCCCAATTCCTTCAACCAGTCCTCATATCACATAGTTTCCAGTCTTCTTGCCATATGTTTTCCAAAACTAAACACAATATGGATTTATTTTAACCAGGGTGCAGAATACAATTCTTCTCTTTCCCTTATTCTAAACATATTTAGCCTGAGCTTTTTTGGCTTCCATTTCACACTTGACTCATTTTGAATTTGTAGCTACCTAAAACACCCAGGACTTTTTCATATGAACTGTTGTCTAGTCATATTACCCTCATCGTGTACTTGAAGTTGATTTTGCAACCTAAATGTAGGACTTTATATTTATCTCTATTAAATTTTGTCTTCATAGGTCCTATATTTCAGCCCATCAAGATCTTTTTGAATCTTGTCATCTAATTTGTTACCTATCCATCCCAGCTTTCTGTCATCTGGACACTTGATAAGAATGCCTTCTACCAAATCGTTGTTTAAAATGTCAAATAGACAGAAACCAAGTACTGAGATGCAACAACCATAGACCTCTCTCACTGATATAAAACTATTGTGACTACTCTTTGGGTACAGTTATTCAAACAGATGCACATATTCCTGAATGTATTATCATCTAACTCCTATACCTCTATTTTTTCTATGAGTATAGCATTAGAGATTTTGTCAACTGCTTTGGTAACGTATAAGTATACTATTCCTACAGCATTTCTTTTTTGATAATTTTTTTAACTACCAAAAAAAAAGAAAAGAAAAGAAAATGAAATTGGCCTGTGTTACAACTCCCTAGTAATGATTTTGTTTTATTCTTCCCAATCTAAAGCTCATCTTCCATGGAAGAGGAAACAGACATAAGTTAAGTAGTTTTGTCTTTTCTCCCTGTCCATTGTATTGTCCTGTTTATGCTGAGCAGTGTTCCTAGCTATTCTCTGATTCTCCTCTTGTCCCCCCAAAAGCTAAAAGTCTTTCCTTATTTTAAATGTGATTGAGGTCCTACACCATTCTGTTTACACAGCCTTCTGTTTCTCTTCCTTATTAGAACTTTATCTGCTTATGTTTTCAGGATTTTATTCTTGAGAGGTCCCCATTCCTTTAGTATTACCTTCTTCTGTAGAATTTTTGCCCTGGGATTTTTTATATACTTTCACAGAATCATTGGAAACCACTCCTCCAGTTCTTAAGCAAACAATGAATAGAAAAGATCACAAGAGATAAAATAGATAATTTTCATTACATGAAATAAAAAAAAATTTACACTGATGCAGCACTAATGAAGCAAGGTTACAGACATATTCTCATACATAACAGGGATACATGGGATCATCCACGTTTAGCAACAGATCAGTACTTAGACTTCTACTTAACTTTGTTTCATATTTAATTTTATCCTGAGCTCAAGGGTAATTTGGGGTATGTTTGTATATTTCCTCAGGAATTAATAAAAATGTCAATACGTCTTTCAATCAACTACACACAGGATTGCTACCTCA